TGATCCTACCATACATAGTGAAACTGTTTGAATGTGTCCTCAAGTGGTGAGACATACTCTGGGAAGATTTAAGACTTTGCCTTGAAAAGGTAAATACTGGGATGGGTCCTGTGATCCATCAGCAGAAAGTCGTGATGTTTCCTAATTTTCCCAGCTTTCTCTCCCCCCCCCCCAGCCATTTCTGACCCTGGAAAGGTTATTTCTGGAGTTGCAGGCTCCCCGTGGAGTAATAGGTATGCCGATCAGGAGGCAGCAGTGAGGATTGGGTGAAATTATACACTCTTGCCTCCTCCATGAGTAGAACTCAGCTGATGGAAGAGGAAGAAGGGAGCAGTTTCCTACTCTTCCCCTCCTCACCCCAGCTCATTAACTTGCACAGCTTAATAGCTCCACGTGGGTCCTTCAAACCCGGGAATAAATGTTCTGGAGGCTGGAAATGGCTGCTGAGGATAGGAGAAAACTGGGCAGAGTGGGGATCCTTGCACGGAACCTTGTGCTGGATCCAGTGCGTTGGCCTGCCTGAAACTGCCACCACCAGGCAAAAAGCCACTTCATGCAAAACTTCAAGCAGCAACAAAACCACAACTGCCATACATGAATGAGGGCTTGGTTCTGTAGCTATTGCTTTTTTCAATCTTGCCCAGCCTCTAAGGAGCTTGGTGTGGTGCACATAGTTTTCCCATCCCCATTTTATCTGTACAACACTCCTGTGAGGTAGACTAGCCTGTGAGATGCCGACCCAAGGTCTCCCCAGTCCTAGCCCAACTCTCTAACCGCTCTACCGCACTTGCTTGTACTGGTCAGTTAACGGAGTCCATAGTGTGCAGAGAGTTGCAAAAAGAATCCGGAAGAAAGAAATGCACTCTTCTGCAGATCTGAGTTCAGCTAACAAATCCACTGAATGAGATCTGAATTCAACTAACCATTCAACAATTTTCTCAGTAGGCCAGTTAACTGCTGCCCACCAAGGGTTTCAATTCGGGTTGCCATCTGACCATTACAAGCAGGCAAGCTCCCCCTTGTGTTCTCTGTCCCCTACCAGTGCTCAATAAAGCAGCAGAGGGGAATGAGAGGGAGACAACATCACTACAATGTAGCAGTGCTCTAGGAATTTCTCCTATCTATGGGTTTTACTATAGAGATTGGGAGAAATACTAGAGTGCTGTACAAAGCAGTGACATCACTTCCAGGTTCCTAGCTGGAAGTGATGTTGCAGCATCACATGGAGCTGTTCTGCTGATCTCCACCCCCAAATTGTTCCCACTGCCACTTAGAGCTGGCCTGGCAACCAGCAAAGGGTGCAGCACATTATATCGAAGGTTAAAAACAAAACGTATGTGCTGAGACCCACCTACCTTCCAAAAGCAAATTAAATCAATCTTTTTTTTTTAAAGGAGCATTCAATTTTGGGGTCAGTCTGAGTCAGAGATATTTCTCCCAGTCTGAGACATGGTGTGGTTTGGGGAAGAAAAGCCAATGGAAAAATTGCTCATAATCTCCACGTCCCCATTAAAAAATCTGAAAGCGGCCTTGAAAACCAATGGAATGTACATATCATAATAAAATGTGTATGTTGATCCAAGTAGCGGCAAAGAAGTCCTAAGATGTTATTATCATCCTAGGCTTCTTCTCCGAAGAGGTGAATGATGAAATAGTTCAAGTTGAGCAAGAAAATCTGTGAAGCTGTTATAAGAGAGGACGATTCACATTCATATCTTGAAACATGAAATTTTGCACTCACTTCAGTGAGTCACATTATGAGATGCACAAACGTCTCCCCTCTCTGTCTTGCCTATAGCTTCAAGTATAAATATACCCGCCTAATGGATGTGCACTTCATGCATCTGACGAAGTGAGCTCTTACTCATGAAAGCCAGAGATCAAATCAACTTTGTCCATCTGTAAGGTGCCATTACCACTGGACTCTTGTCATTCTTTTGATCTGTTTAAAAAATGTGTCCTCACTATTCTGCATACTAATTTAACAAACCTATATATACGACTATGATATGTAATTCCATTTCTTCGTCTGACGAAGAATGCATGCTCACACCTTGAATAAAACCTTGTTGGTCTTAAAGGTGCTATTAGACTCTAACTTTGTTCTATCACTTCAGAGTTAACATATTTGGGATTGAATTTCTTAATGCAGAACCACTCCAGTCTTTAATACTGAGATCTTATTTACATACACAGTTGAATGAGGAGGGAGGATTCTGGGGTGGTAGAGTGAGGTCCACGACAGGGCTACAACAACCCAGGGACACCTTGCCCACCTGATTGCAAATTAGGCAGCCATGATGAAAGTAAGCTACTTTGCCCCATACCTCCCTGATAAAACAAAACAAATATGGAACAACCCCATGATTGGAGTTAACCTAGTTTCTGCCTCTAATTCCTATGGGAATAGGAGCTATACCGACACAGGGTACTAGCTTGGACTTCAGTGAGAAATCGCCAGTCCACAAGGATCCCCTTGGATTTCCTCAGGTTGTATTGTTATGGCTTTGGCCTAAAAGGAATCCAGCCAGGTCCCAAGACAGTAGAATGTTTCCTTGAAGTCAGAATTAGATTTATGGTAGATGGGCCCATCAGTGGCTACTAACCATGGTGACCAAAGGGAAGTGCCATCTACAGAGGCAGCAGCAGGGCTCTTATGTCCTGAATGTCAGTGGTCCCTAAATGGGGGCAGTTTTTATGGGTTTGGCCTTAGAAGAACAAAGTCAGGTGCTAAGACAATGTTTGCTTGATGGGGGAATTAGAGAGATTCGTGGGGGATAGGCCCATTGGTGGCCAAAAGGAGCCTCCATCTACGGTGCTAGGCCTCGGCTTCTATGCAGGCTGCTGTGAACTGGCGAAAGAGATGTGAGGTGCCACATCTCTCTCTCTCTCTTTCTGAAACAATATGTATCTGGTACTTCAGGGCCATTTCTTTGCCTTCACCTGTGCTCAGGCCCGTAGTGTGGGGGGGGATTTGGGGGCAATGCCCTGTGGACAAAACAGTTTAAAATTTTTTTTTTATTCCAATTTGTTTTAAAAATATTTTAAAAACGTAAGATGTGTGGGGGGTTTTCAAAATGACCCCAGGCACAGTTAGGGAAGCTTCAGTCTCATTTTCTTTTTTCCGGGCCAAAAAATAAATAGGTTTTTTAAAATGCCATAAAATAAAATTCCAATAAAATAAAATAAAATTGTGAAATGCAAAAGAGAGTCAGTGATTTCCCCCCCCCCCACAAGTTTAGCCAGAAAAGCAGGCCGGAATCGAGTCTCTCCAATTGAAAGGACTAGAGGAGGAGTAGAGGTCGCAGCGGAGCCGCAGCTGCTGCTTTTGCTGCTGCAAGAGGAGAAACAGATGCAGCCAGGGTGCCCCCCCCCTATTTCCCCACACCCCACCAACCAAAATTTTCTGGCTACACTCCTGCCTCTGCTCTACTGGTATAAATTGTAAATAAAGTAAACATTACAGAAATACACTGAGTTTCTAGTGGGGTCTCCTCCAAAGCAAACCAGCAGGGGTAACCATCATCCCCTGGAAACTCTCACCAGTCTAAGAAGCTGGCAGTATGGAACAATAGAATGAGGGCAGAGCTGCCAGGTTTCTTTAACAAGCTAGATTTTAGAAGAAGAGAGAGAAGAGATTGGATTTATACCCCGCCCTTCACTACCCAAAGTTGTCTCAGAGCAGCTTACAAACTCCTTTCCCTTCCCCTCCCCACAACAGACACACTGTGAGGTGGGTGGGGCTGAGAGAGCTCTTGACAGAAACTGCTCTTTTTCAAGAACACCTCTTATCAGAACTACGGCTTGCCCAAGGTCATCCAGCCAGGTGCAAGTGGAGGAGTGGGGAATCAAACCACTACACCAAACTGGCTCTCACACCAAACTGGCACCATGCAACAAAATAGGCACCATGCAACAAAATAGGCACCATGCAACAAAATAGACTTGTAGTGTTGTCACTTATACTATTTATTTATTTATTACCTTAGATTTACTATACCGCCCTAACCCCCGAAGGGGTCTCTGGGCGGTTCACATTTTTTCGTTCTAAGAACTGATTATTCCCTATCTTGGGCCACAACTAGGATTGGGGGGGGGGCTGTCCTACCGGCACCCTCGGTGGTATATATTCTTTCTTTTGCTTCTGTCACCATCTGCCATACCGTTCGTATTACCACCATGCCTCTTTCGTCAGAGGTGGGTGCCCCCTACCCCTCTAAGGGCAGGTACCCATTCGTCTACTTGCATCAGATGTTAATTAGCTTTCGACCCGCTACAGTGAAGCCAGAGCCTTTTTGGGCATGTGTGTATGCAACTGAGCCATGGCCCTTTAATAGAAGAGGCTGCTTCTTAGTAGAAGAGAGGGAGAGAAAGATGAAGGGGAAAGTGACATGAAGATGAAATTAAACATGAGTCCAGTGGCACCTGAAAGACTAGCAACATTTATTCCAGCCTAAGTTTTTGTGTGGGCCAGAGCTGGTTTCATCAGATGCATTGATGTGCCCATACATAGCAGATGTCTCTACTTAAAAGTTACAAACAACACCCCTCCCCCTCCTTTTTTGTAAATGGGGACTTCTCCTCAGTATAGTGGCTTTGATGTACACTTCCATGTATCTGATGAAGCAAGCTCTCATGGACGTTTATAAAACAAAGGTTGAGTCCAATGGTACCTTTAAGACCAACGAAATTTAATTCTGAGGTAGCCGGATTCCGGTGGGTAGCCATGTTGGTCTGAAGCAGAACAAAGTTCGAGTCCAGTGGCACCTTTAAGCCCAACCTTTTATTTACGGTATAAGCTTTCCTGTGCAGGTACACTTCTTCAGAAAGCTTATACCTTGAATTAAACTTTGTTGGTCTTAGAGTGGCCGCTGGACTCAAACTATCTGAAGAAGTGCGCATGCACACGGAAGCTTATACCCAGAATAAAACCCTGTGAGTCTTCGAGGGGCCGCTGGACTCAAATTGTCCTGCTGCTTCAGACCAACACAGGTACTCACCTGAATCTATGACAAGGCTTATGGTGGAATACATTTTGCACGGGGGTGGAGGGGGGGGGCTGAAAGGCAATCGGTCGGATTCTCCCTCATACATAGTGATAGAATTACTGATAGGATTATTGACGGCAGTGATATGAATACGATTGTTTTTTCTTCCCGACCGCGAAATGCTGCTTCTTTCTTCCCAGTTCCCCCTCCCTCCCCCCGCGGCCTCTGCGGTGGAGCTCCCAGTCCAAGAAAGCCTCCGTAACCCTAACTCGGCCCCCGGTCCCGCGCCCCAACGCCGCCGAGGAACCCCCGGCCTCTCCCGCGCCCGCCCGCCCGCGTCACGCCACAAGCCCCGCCTGCCAGCCATGGGCGGCCTCTGGAGGAGGAGGTCGCCGGCGGAACTGCAGGGCGCTGGTCCAGCCACCAGGGCGGCTCGCTGAGCGGCTGAGTCGCAGGTCTTCTTGCAGCGCGGCTGCTGCCCCCGACGGGTCTCCCCGGTGCCCTTTCCAACGACTGGCAGAGAATGGAGAAGCCGGCGGTTGTGCAGGCCGGCTCTGCTGCTTTCCAGCCGGGCCTGCCGCCGAGCCATTGGAGGGGTGAGGGTGGCTTGCCGTTGGATCTCTGCAAAGGAGCGCGGCGGGTTTGGCGAGGTACGAAGGGGCGCCTCCGGGGCTGGTGTTGCCGAGGCGCAGGTCGAGGAAGGCCGGCCGCTGGTTGGGGACGATGAGTCACCCGCCTGAGCCTTCCCGGGCGGGCAGTGTGGCTGCTTGAAGATCGAGGGCGGCGGCAGCGCGCCAGCCCGTGGCTCCGAGGCCCTCGGGGGAGGACGCCGGGATCCGCTAGTGGTTTCCCTCTCTCCGCCCACTCAGCTGGGCGGCAGGCTGGGGGTGACCCCAGTTGCGTCTCTGCAAGGCCAGCGAAACATGGAGTTGTCCCCGCCCGGGTTAATTACAGGCATTCCTTTAATGGCCTCGGAGAGCCAGCGTGGTGTCCTAGTGGGTCTAATCTCTGGGAGACTTCAGGGATCCCCACTCATGCCATGGACGCTTCTGGGTGACCTTGTGCCAAGCCCTCCGCTCTCAGCCTAACCCACCTCACAGGGCTGTTGAACAACGTTTGAGTCCAGGGGCACCTTGAAGACCAACGAAGTTTAATTCTTCTGGGTGTAAACTCTCCTGAGCAGGCACGCTTCATCAGATACATGCATGCACCCCAAAGCTTATATCCAGAATGAAACTTTGTTGGTCTTCAGGGTGCCCCTGGACACAAACGTTGTTCTACCTCACAGGGCTGTTGTGAGGGTAAAACAGAGGAGAGGAGACCAATGTAAGCCGGTTTGGGTCTCCATTGGGGAGAAAGGTAGGATATAAATAAAGAAATAATCAGAATAATAAGAAAAGAAAGATTACACTCTCAGTCTCACCTACAGCAGTTTAAAGCCCTTTGAGGTAAATTAAGATGAGACAGTGACTAGCCCAGTGGGATTACATCGCAGAGATGGGATTCGAACCTGGCTCTCTTGCATCCTAGCCCGACACTTTAACCACTACATCAGACAGGCTGCATTGTCACCTGGAGGCCTTAGGCAAACAATTATGGCTCTCATTCACAGTGCCTTTGTCTGTAATAACATGTCTCCAAGATTGCCCTTATGAAAATTTCTGAGCTGTGTGTGAAGTTCTTTTAACACTCAAAAAACATGCCACCTATGATTATACTTGATACAAGCTAAGTATGCATGCTAGTAATAATAAAATAATAACAATAATAACCAACAGCACTTTTGCCCTGTGGTTGGAGAGTGTGAAGAAGGAACATTCCCTGTTCTTTAAAAGCATGTTTAGGTTTTTAGACTTGACCAATGGAATTCGAATCGTGCATATCCAGAAGTAAATCCCATTGAGCTCAATGGGATTAACTCCCTGGTAAACTATTGTATAGTGTGGTGTGGTGGTTAGAGTGTCAGACTAGCATCGGGGCTGGAATCCCGACTCTGCCACGGAAGTTTGCTGGGTGACCTTGGGCCAGGCACACAGCCTCACCTACCAAACGGGGTTGTTGTGAGGAGGGTAAAATGGGAAAGTGTTCTAAGCCACTTCAGGTCTCCCACTGGGGAGAAAGGCAGGGCTTATACGGAGTAAATGCACAATAGAGCAAAATCTGAGTCCAGGGGCACCTTTAAGACCAACAAAGTTGGATTCTGGCTATCAGTTTTCTTGTGCCTGCGCATGAAAGCTTATACCCAGAATCGAAGTTTGTTGGTCCTAGAGGTGCCCCTGGACTCAAACGTTGTTCTGCTGCTTCAGACCAACTCGGCTCCCCACCTGAATCTAAATAAATAATATTTAGACTTGCCGCCAAATTCTGCCAGAGGCGAGGTGGTTGTTCCGGATTATATAACGGGGGGAGGGAGGTGCAACTATATGATCTGGCGATCTTCCCCGCCGAGTCCATTCATGCTTGCAGGACTCTCCCGGAGTGAAAACAGCGCTGCTTGTGGACCGATCAAGGCGGGGACACCCCCCCCGCCCCCTGGGACTTCGGCCAGCCTCCCCTCCCCCTCCATAGCTCCCCCTTCCTTTCCTTCCGTCCCGGTCCCTTGCACGCCGGCCGCAAGCCCCCCAGCTGGCGGGCTGCTGTTTCCCCTGCCTACGGTCGCTGCCCAGAGACACGGAGAGCGAGACCTACGGACACCAGCAAGCCCTGGAAAGCGAGAAGTCCCTTTGCTTCCCCATCGGCAACCCATCGCTTTAGTGGTCGACAGCAGCACCCAGAATCCGCACGGCGCTCTTTACCGAGGTCTCCTGCCAGTTCCGCACTGACATTTTTGTCGCTGGTTTTCCACTATTGCTTTGGGTTCCCCCTCCTTTTCCATATGTGTTGGGCTCTCTCTGGGACGACAAGAGAGACAGATGCCCGTCTCCTCCGCCTTACCCCCCCCCCACCCCCCCCTCTCAGCG